TCCCGGGGCCGCTGAAGGGAGCGGGTCCTGCCTGGGAGCACCCCCGGGGAAGCAGAGAAGGGAGCACAGAGCTTGTAATGCAGTTAGTTTAATTTATACAGTGACTGGCAGCAATTTCACCCAGGCAGCAGGGCCGGTGTCACCGCTCCGCCCGCAGACGAGGTTTGATTTTACCATTGTAAACGTTACAGCGTAAACTGCCCCCACCCAGGAGCTGCCCCCGCGCAGCACAAGGGTCCCCGTGGCAGCGTGTGGTGCACAAGCACCTTTCTCATGTGATTTTACACCACCCCGTGCTGCGTGGCATTTCCTCTGCGGTTCCAGGTTATGATGATTCTCCTCATCGTTCTAATCGGTTCACACACAAATACTCAGATCCACTGTGACAACTAAACACGACAGTTCCACACAGCACCAACACGCACACGCCCCCCTGCTCCCACAGCTACAGCGGGTTGAGGAGGGCAAGAAACTATTCACACCTTGCACAGGAGAAAAAGCAACAGCGACTGTGAGGGAATACTATCAACACTCCACTGCCAGGCAAGACTCAGCCTCTCTCCTCCCTTAAAGGGCTCCTTAGACCTGGAGCATATGTGACAACATACAGCTCTGGTACCTCCACCTTTGCAAAACCTGCCTCCACCCATGCCAAGTCATTATCTGGATGTGCCTCTGTCACTCTGCAGCCTCAGGTCTTTTGCTTTTAAACAAGAAACCCCAGAAGTTCCAGTGCCAGTGGTCAGTGCCCCAGATGACCGCTTGCACCGCTCGTCCCTCCTCCATCTCGCCCCAGGACACAGCAAGGCAGCCAGACCCCCAGTGTCTGAGCCCCCTGTTCTCACCCCTGCCTCCAGGAATGAGGTGGAGTAGGGCTTTGCCTGGGATACAAGCCTGCAGGTGCACGGTTAAAGGAGCATCTCTTCTCCCTGGAGGAAAGGAACAGCCTTTCTTGCAAGGACGAGGTGTTTCCCCATCACTAGAGCAATGGGAGAGGCACCACACTCAGCTGAGGCTGAGTCCTGCCCCTTCATATTGGCTCCTCAAGCCCCAGCCAGAGGTCAAAGAGCTGAACCCCTGCACGGGGCGAGACACTGTTTTTGTCATATTAAAACATGGCACATGCAAAAGCCCTGAAGGCAGGAGAAGCAACGTCCTGGATTGTCAACTGCCTGCTGCTCATCATTTGTTTAATCAGAGGCAGAGACAAATAGGATCACCATGTAAAACACACTTTAAAAACCCTCTTCCCAAGCAGCCAGCTTTGTGCAAGCTGAGGGCGTTAGGCCTGTTCTCCATGTGCTTGTCTGCCCACTCAGCCAGAGCTGCACTTCCCTCATGCTGCCTCGATGAGCCTGCCAGGGAATTCACAACACGAGAAGGACACGACGACACACCAAACCCAGACACTGCATGCACTTGGTATCTTCAGTGGTAAACATAAGGAAGGAAAAGTTTCTTTGATCCAGTGTCACTCATTACCCGAGAATGTCAAAGCTCTTGGCTTTGAAACACCATGGTAACACTCGAGGGTGCTGCAATAAGTTATTTTCACTATGGGAGGATCACATGCAACTCAGACACGCGGGAGAGAGCTAACCACAAACACACAACGGTAACACGGCTCGAGGAGAGGGACCTTCAGTCGTCAAACCTCCCCTCACGGATGGTCTCAAAGGAGAAAGGGAGGAACTTGAATCCAGTGCCAGTGTAGAACTTGTTCTGGAACTCAATCCTGCAAGACAGGGAGGCAATTGCTCATTAAAAAGGCAGCTCTCAGCAATTAGCAAGAACTCCATTCAAAGTATGATTATTGACTATTAAAAAATAAAGCTTTAAAGAGAAAAAGTGTTATTACAATGTGGTGTCTTTTGGCACAAACCTCATGTTTTTGTTTGATGTTTCTGGAGCAGAGCAGACGAGAATGGTCCAGGTATTTCAATCCCACCACCACAGGCAATAAAAGGGCAACAAAAATACAACCAACTCCCTAACTGCAGTGTCACTTCGAAGCACAGAGCATTTCCTCTAAGATCTCATTACTAACGCTCACATTTTAGTTGGAGCAAACCTCAGCTGCGTGATGCTGTGCTCAGACTTCCTCCATCAGCTACTTCTGTTTATTTTCTTAAGTATATTTGGTTTATCCCCACATGACTACTTCTGCCGAGCTCGAGATGTGCCTGTTGTCTCCAGCTGAACATTAACTGAGCCTTGTTTGCCTGCTTCCCCCAATAAACTCAGTTTAAAAAAAGAATTATGCTAGAGAACTGTCCAATGGTCAGCAACAGCTAAATAAGGGAAGAAAAAAAATAATCCCATGATTCACAGAAAAAACAAGCACAGTGTGTCATGAGCCTCATGAGAAACACTTTCCATTGCATGATCCACTAAAAAAAATGAAGTCTCTGTAGGAATCAAGTGACAGCAGATTGTAGAGCAGTTTAACACAACTCAGAAGTGTGGTTATGAAGCACAAGAAGGCAGACTTGGATTATATTTTTTCCCAAATCAGGAATGGCAGCAAACTCCAGAGCTGCTGGTATTTCAGCTGGCAAAAAGTGATTTCCCAGCAGAGCTCAGGAGGGAAACGTTGAGAAAAACAACTTTCTGCTCATATCTTCTGGTGCCTGTCCATGCAGCCAGGGAGAACTTCCCTGCAGAGGAATCCCTAGGATGAGCAGGACTTTCCGTGTGGGCGGAAGGGCTCCTTGCCAACATGCTCCAGTTTTTCAGGAACCCTGATAATCTCCATAAGTATCCTGTGACTCAGTAACTATTCTGTAAGCAAAGGGAAATAAGAGGCAGAGGGTTGGGTATCTGAGTCACACAGAACCCACTGTAAATGAAATTTTAACCCTGATGATTAACTGTTCCAGCTGGCCCTGACATCTGACAACTCCTTTTGGACACACTCAGTTACAACTGGCCGCAACTGGATGCCTGAAGCTCGAGGAGAGGCTGTTGTAAGGTTGGGGAACTAGTGAAAAAAGTGTATTTAACCAAATAATCCTGGCTCAAATGTTCTGTGTGTTTTTATTACAGTTCTCTACAGCAGCACCCAGAATCCAAGGTCCTTTTTTGGTACGAGACACTGCTGTTTCCAGGATCATTGGCTGTCACATGCACCAGCTCTATTGCTAAACTTTGTGCTGTGTGTCTCCCATCAGTGATCAAGTTCTGCAGAAGAATTTACTAGACAGTTACCACTGCACTGTAAATAAACAGACTAGAAAGTTTTCTGGCAGTCAGCGTTAAAGAAAACCCACTCATCAGCTTTTTTTGTATCAATAATTAGCCCCAGTGTTTGCGGGACTGTAATTATGTGGATTTTCCAACCCAACAGAGTCATAGAATACCCACACAGTCTGGAAAACCAGGCAGCTCCCAGTCCCACGGGAACCAGCTGCAGAGACAGTTGCTGAAGAGGAACCCTGACTTTCATTTAGTACAAGTGCAAATTCCTGGTTAGTATTTGTGTTCTGAACGGTGTGTGCCAATGCCTGGGGTCGGCTGTGATCCAGGGCACACCTGAGAGCAGCCTGCAGCCCACCTCACAGTCAGAAA